AAATGAAAACTAGTCGGAACAGTTGTTTGATATTCAAGCTAAGGATCTCCCCGTAATCGCAAACATTTTTAACATAGATAAACTAATAATGCAGATAAAATAATTTAATTTTTAACGGTGGAAGTTTGATGAATTCCTCACAATAGATATTCAAATGGCGTTTTTTGCACAATGTACGTTGAAAAGATTTGCTAAGTACTCAATAAATAGTGGTATTTAAGCGTTTGTCGGTGCACAAAAGACAAATACTCTGAAATGATGATAATACGGCAAAACGATTATTATTATTACAAGCTAACTATATATATCTGCTGCTGATGCTGTTTACCATAACGCAAATCATAATCCAAGTTCTACTACCTGGAGCGTTATTACTGCGTAGGAAATATCGGATATCAGTTCTTGCCAGAATCTAGGAAAAGGTCAATAACCCAATTAAAAGGTATTTTCACAGCGATTCAGTTTCACCATATTACAATATTACGTTTCACTATGTAGTCAGCACTTTTTCGTTTGAGAAGTCATCGTACATATATATTTCATGTATATATAATTTTTTTTGATTGATCTAGTTGTTGTTTATACGAGCGGCTGAAACCACAACATCCGTTGTCTAACTTTAGGCGCAATATTTTATACTTGGAACAAATCTGAAATGGAAAATGATTACTTGACATCTAAAAAGGAAGTTACAATTTTCCGTTAATTCAGATAGGTGCTTTATTTGACGCCAAAAGCATTTGTATTTATTTTAAATGGCATTTAACCGAATGAGATCATTAATTTTTTGCACTTCTGTTAACAAATACAGCTGCAGATGTAATTAACTTAAAAATGCAAGCAGCTGTTATTACATTGGAAATTTATTATCTCATAAACCGTTCTAGGTAAATTCGAGTCCGTTTTCCCGTTCTATTTCCGTTGTTGATTTGTCATCCCCTCGGTTTACGACGAAAATCCGAGACGAGCGTAGGCGTAGCCTTAAAAGATTCGCGTGAGCAATTCTCAAACAACTATAATAAACAACATTTTTGGCCGTGAAAACACGTGCCGGGAGGTTACACAGTTTCAAACTGGCTTAGTCCTGACGAAAATAGCCCCTAAGATACACCAGACTTATAGAAGCCGAGTGCAATACGGACGACCCACGTGTGATCGTAGGAGACATGTATTAAACCGCATTAATTAAATATTGACAAAAGCGTGAGCATTTATGAGATGATATCCTCACGTGTGCATAACTATGCAAGTATATTGGAAATGTGTCAACGAATACGTGTACATACATTATTACTAATAATTTATTAGTTCACTTATTTAGCAACATTGAAATTTTTTAAAAGATGTCATTCGGTTGCCAAGGTCGTATTATGTACAAATTAAAAGAGACTAAAGTTGTATTTTTACACACGTTTATGTGACAATTCTCCTCTGTAACGTAGTTATTTGGTGCATAGTAAATTGTCACAAATTAGCGTGTTCCTGTTGCAGAATCGATATCTCGGACTACGTGCAAAAAACACCATTAAGATTATTTCGAAAAGTCGTTCACTGCACATGACTGTGTTTGATCACAAGTACCTTGTGTGTGTACACTCAGCCCAATAGTAACGCAAAGGTTTTCAGATGAATTTAAACGTGTGTTTTGATAACAATGGCGTACTTCACGATGGGTATTGTTGTCATTAAAAACCGACCCCTAACGTCACATTACTCTTGTACGTCATAAAACAGCGTTATCTCGCGACGGACAAACGAAAATACCGGAAGTGAAATGTATTTGTGACGAAGAAGAACTGCATGCGTTATAAAAAAATTTTTGTAACCATTACTAATCATATGGCCGTATGAAACGGTTTATTTCACGAGTTGGTCTTTGTGAAAAGTCATCACAAGTTCCGAGTTCGACCGTGACGGTTATTGTTCTCGGGATCTCATGAAATAAAAAAATAAATAAATGAAAAAGTCGGCCGTTATGAAGAAATTCAAAACGTAATCGCGGTATAATATTTTAATCCTGGATCGTCGTTTAAGTCGGTTTCAGAAGTGCCGGGACAAGTCAAAAGAAACGTGAGTAAAAGCGGGTCGAACTGAGTGCAGCGGGGTGGGGTTCCGGGGAACACCTACACCGCCACGGTTCAAAACGCCCTTTGCGACGGGGCGAGCAAACAAAGTCCCGGACGCAGGCGGCAATCCCGTCACGTCGTCGGCGGTGCGACGGCAAAGATTAAAAGCGAAAAATACTTTTCGCCAAAATCCTATTAGGCCACAGCCAGCAGATATTAAATGTCAAACGCAGCCAAATCCGAGGCACATCTAGCCCGAGCTTTATGGCGTTCGTGACAACTTCGAAAGCATTGATATTACCCCAAGCATGTATACAAGCAGTTTTATTTTATTTGCCTCGCCACAGGAAACATTTTAGAATAGGTTTTCCCAGTGCATGCTCTGGCCCATTACACACTTATTCCGGCGAGTTATGTTATTATTGGTTTTTTTTTTTGCGAGATTTTTGTCGAGTTCGAGTTTTTTTTCTTGATTTGAGAAGTAATAATAATAATAAAAAAATTTAGCAATGCCGCACTTTGATTGCGATGTTCAGTGTCCGTGAAACAATTGAGTATGCGACCCTTTAGACGTTCTTCAAACGCTGCCGGACGAGATCCGATTTTGTTCGTAGCAGATGTTTTTTTGGGTAATACGGTTTATGGTGTATCGGAACAATCGTCCCGTAAACGAAAATACTGTTTAAGTAGATTTTCACAGAAAATTCAAGGGGATGATTCAGCTGTATTTAGAACGGTTCGAAAACCCGTTTTGGCTATTCATAAATAAAAAAAAAAAAAGTACACGGTTTGCCGAAATAAATAAAATTACGTAGTTTGGCGTATGACAGCGAAAGATTTAATACGAACATAAAACGGTAAGTTTTCGAATCCGTCGTGTGGATAATGTAAAAAATACGTTCTTGCTTGTTTAATGGGAAATAATAATCAATAATGTTTCGAGCGCACAAAAACCATAGTAAACGTTCGCAATGGCCGTTTAATATTCACGGAGTTTTGGTCGCTCGGACTTGATTATGCTGATTCGAACACCGCTGGGAACATAGTAACTAATGATTTCGACCTGGCCAGTTGCAATAAATATTGGGCTAGTGTAGTAGTACGTGGTGGTCGGTCGACTAGTAGCGGCCTTGTCACACTATCGATGAACGAGATAGATGCGTTGGATATTACCGTAATGATCATGTTGAATATTGTACCGCGAAAAACGGAATCGAGAGGGAAAAACAGAGAAATCCTATTGACTGAATTGTACCACCGAGTACAATAGGTTTTTCGTTGTTGAAATATTAATGTTCTGATTCATCGATGAGACGGCCGCTGATTAATATCCAACGCCATGCACATTTTGGGTTGGTACGTTTTATTGTTTTTCACTGTAGTCTCTCATAATGGCCATTGTAAGTCCGCGTAATGACAAACGAGCCAGACGCCTGTTGTGCGATGTTGCTCGCTGTTTTTGTTGTAAGTGTTCATTTACATGCAAATCGCCGTGAAAGTCATTACAAAAGTTTAAATTGCCAGCGTATGTTACCAGCCGACCTCTTAATAAACACCGTTCGGTAGTAACCGGGGAATACTTAAGTCTATTAGCAGTGTAGCCGATTTTATTTCCTTCCGTCCTATACGCACTCACACAATCCTGCTCGCTAACGGCCAACCCGACCAATCAGCCTTCATAAAATATGCTCGCCGGTCGTGTATTGCCGTGGAGTAGATTTAATCTGTTTAGTGGTATCAGTGTGCTATTTCCGAATCCCAAAGTGCACCTATTGACCATAATTCGTTTTAGATGTAATAATAATAGATTTATAATAACGCGGTTCCTAAATAATAATTCACTTTATGGTTTACCATTGACGGCAAATGTCTCTAGGACCGCTGGAATTAGTCAGCATATTGTAATTTACACGGAATATTTGCAATCGCCGCGTTAGTTATGTCTATATTAGATTTTAATACGTGTTCGCCGAATTTAGAAGGTACCTACTCAGTGTTATGCGTTTATTGGTTTTTGTTTTAAATTTCATATTGCCCTTGAGTGCAATTCATGAAAAAACATCCACAATCGAGCTCCTCCTCTATACATTTAAACTACTATCGATTACACATAAATATCTAAATCGTAATATCCATATCACGAATACGTTTAGTCGTACGGTTTTTCTCCGTTACTAAAATAATAATATTTTTCTACCATAACTGGTGTGTTTTATGATTAAAAATCTGCCCGACTAGATGTCATTTTGAATGTGTTTGTGTTTAAACCGTCGATGTATGACTCCTACACACGAGGAAACCTTGAATAAAATTTAATCACTATTAATATTTAGGAGTATACTTTTCAAGGCAAATGGCTATTGAAAATTTTACCAACCCAACCAAACCTATTGTACATGAGGTTTTTCATTAGTTGTGTTACACGTGCCCTTGAACTTCACACGATTTAGAACAGTAAACACAATAACAGAGAGTTGGACAGAACCAGTTTGTTTTATAAATAACATTGACCATCAACTCTATTCAAATTTTTTCTTAATATTCTTCTATATTCAAGAACTACTAGCTATCGTTTATGATTTATTAAACTGGAGAAATGATTTTTACGATTTAAAAAATTTAAATATTCAGACTCGTATACATTACGATTCTGAAATTGTTTGAGTGTTAGTATTTTCATAAATTACTTTAATATTAGTGTAATCATACATTATTAATTGATCAAAATTAACTTTTTTAAAACTTTTAAATGACATCAAATGTAACATATGATTAAAATTTGTGTATCTGATATTAGAGATCTGATGAAATCAATTATTATAACAAATTGTACATATTCAAGTGTTTAATATGCGAGTGTTATTTTACACTTTTTCTTTTATTATTAATTTTAAGTTATTATTTGTTGTGTATTAAAAACTTTTTCATTTTCAGATAGATTATGTCGATGAAGTATAACCATAAAATATTTTCACGACAAAATATAATGTAAGATTATTACTCATCTAAAAAATGTATTCGATAAATTAAAAATTTGGCACGAATCCACGTAAAACTGACAGTTGCTGTTATCAGTCTGTCAATCCTGATAGACATAAAAATAATAATTATAATGTATTGATGGGTCATTGTCTCTTTAGTCTACAGTCATGTACTGCCGTTAGGCTTTTACGTGTGAATATTAAACTTCCTGTCTAGACTTTTTACAAAAAAATAACACAAATTCAAATAAAACGAATACAAATATTTTATGTTGACAAAATGAATTCATTTTCATTACTATACATTAATTTTAATATTAGATTATACTTTTTACAGGTGACACTTAACGAACGTGTCAAATATTTAGCAATATTCTTTATTGCATAAAATAAAATGCCCATTAAATTTTTGTTAGTAAGCTTGCTTTTATATGTCTGTCTTTTCAAGTTCTCTAAGGTAGTTTGGAAAAAAATGTATCCGATTAAAAATTATAAAAATTACATGCAAAGTAATAAAGACACTAAAATAAACTATAATAAAAATAATCGTTTGTATTAACAATAATCGAATAACGACGATAAAAAAAAAAATTATCTGAGAACTCCCTAAATACATCTAAAATAAGAAATAGCTTAAAAGAGGTTTGACTTTATGTACAAGGAGCCACAATTATAAAATTCATTCGTTAGAGGTTACTCTGTGTAATAACATTTCTTCAATTTAATATAAAAGTCCATGTTAATAAATTTTACCTGGGTACGGATACAGGGGTCATGGGATCAATGCCTCCTAAAATTAGAATTATTTTTTAAAAAAAGTCCACTTTTTGAAAAATAAATTTCATTGAAACAAAAATAGTGAAATGTCTCCCCCAAAAATTTGTTCTGGAATCGCGCTTGAATACACTACTAATTAATAATCTAGAATAATTTTAGGTTATTGCAAATCTTTTGTTTGAGGATTAATTATTTAATTATTAATTAATCTAATTAATCACTTCTAATTATTATTATTCCATTAATTAAATTCTGTTAACCCATTTTACAATTATCACAAAAAAGCTGCAATTTTAATAAAAAAAATTAAATGTTACCTTTTAGTAGAAATCATATTTTAGTGAATGTCATTTTATTGTTTAAACTGTTGTATGTTAATTGGGTTTGTTATGCTTTGGTTGACGTATTTTTGTTAAATGCGTTTGTTCTTTCAGAAACCGTCTTCACAGTTCCAACTCATCCCGTTTTCCTTTGTTACGTTAAAATGTATTGTTATGACCGCATGAATACCAAAAAAGTTGATTTCACTTTTATTTTAATTGTTCAACTGAACAATATTTGAAAAAAATTATGAGAAATACGTTAAAATTTAAAAATACTCAATTTTGTATGTCTTGGTGAATAATTATTGGCAAATAACATTATAAAATATAAGAATTAATTATTTAATAATATGCTATGCAGTGAGTTTTAATTTTACTTGTAAATAATTCTACAGATTTGTTTATAAAATGAATAACAAATAAAGTCATTTTCAAGCCAACTAAGTGTTAATTAATTAATATAACTTTTTATAAGATGTTTAATTAATGATATTTACAATATGTATCTTCTTAATTTTTAGTAATTAAGGCGTACATGCTATTATTTTATGATATTCGTAATTATGTTAACTTATAAGTTGAAGATTAAAATACTGAAATATTTTTCGTATCGGTGTGTCACAATCGAATGTGTAACATAATTGAAAATAAATCTGAAAGGACATCCAAAATTATCGTTAAATTAATTATACATTTAGTTATTATTAAGTTTGGTCGTTTAAATGAAAAGCGTTTATGAATGTTAATTAATTCAACTAAAAAGTGTGTTCGATTTTCGACTTAAATCTTAATTTTTAATACCTTTTCATTTTAGGATTAATCATATATTAAATCATTCTCATTAATCGGTTGAGAATTATTAACCTATTCAGTAATATGAAAATAACAACTGCGTAGTTGAATCAAAACTATGCTAAACGTACGTGATCTCGACTGGGCGGCGAATAAAAATTTAAATTATCGCTAATCAAATCTTCATCAACATTTTAATTCTGAAACTCTTCGGGTTATATAGCGACGGCTTTGTCTTTATGGTAGCGGAATTTAATTTTTTTAATACGTTGTACAAGATGAAATAATGTCGTTGACGATAAAAAAATCTTGTTGTTAATTTCCGCTAAGGGGTGTTTTGACAAAGAAAAAAAGTAAGATTTTAATGACGTACACCATTTAGATATTAAGAAGCCGGTTTTATTTGCAATTAATTATACAAATTAGTTTTTACTAAGAATTAATATGCATAAATAATTATTTATAAATTATAGATTAAACAATATTTTAATTTTAAGATTTATTATAATTATCTTATGACGCATTACCTTTAGTCATAGTACAATTGAGGCGATCAAATAGATTTTTCTGGGAACTGTCAATAATTGAAGTGAAACCACAAGGCGTTTAAAAAACAATATAGGCAATATTACCTGCAAAACTTTATATTATAATATTACCTAACATTATCTAAAAAACAAATTATTGACGGGTGCCATAAAATGTTCGTTTTAAAAATTAATCAACATATTTTTAGGCTATCAAATAATTATTCTGTGTTATTTTAATTCTATTCGATTAAAACAAAAGTTCTGGATAAAATTTAATTAATATTCAATGAAACTGTACAAGAATTCTCATTCTATACTTTGCTACACAAGCGAATTCTTAATAATTCTGTCGAAAAGTCTGATATCTTAAAACGTATAATTAGTTATGTGGTGATAATTAAATTAAAGTCATGGCAAAGGTATTCGCTACCACACAAGTATGTACGCCGTTTTCTTATTAAGAACTTCGGAGTTTCACAGTAGTGTTCTATGTTGTTAATCTTTTATAATTGAGGTCTGTCTTGTGGTTTTAACATCAATTTTGCAACTAAATACACATACTCTACATAGACTCAATAGGGTTGTAGGTACGTTTGTATGCAAATAACACGATTTAACTTGCCCTTTAATCTTTCCCAACAAAGGTTTCTGTTATGTTTCAGAAATAGATTCAACGCTTTAGAAGACATTATTTGAAGAACACCAAGACAAAATTCTACTACAATAATTTCTACCGTTATCATATATTTTTTCAACCAAATACAACGGTGAATTGTAATTATATCTACTTAGTTTTTATTAGTACCTATCCGTATACGTATGTGTAACACAATGATATAGTTTATTAAGGCAGTTTTGTGACTCTTACAGAGTCTATATTTTATATATAACAAAGTTTCAAGATTAACACACTTAGTTTTTTAAATAAAAATTAAAAATATTAATAATATTGATCAAAAAAAAAAAATGACAGGGTATGTCACGAGTATATAAGAAATCCGATAATCCTTTCGCTGTAATTTTTTTAAAACAATTTTTGATTAAGTTAAACGCATATTTTTAGACCACCGCGGTGAATAATTCATAGCGGCGGTCAATTTATCGCGCTAGTCAATTCATCGTGCTGGTTAATTCATCGCCATTTTGTATTAACTGAATAACATAAATTCGGGAGGGATAAAAATAAAATATTCTGTTTCTCTAAAATTTTTTTGTAAAAATCAATGAATATGTAAATGGTTTCATTTTATTAGACATAATTGACAGTGAAAAACACTATCACCAATCGGTGTAATGGACTAATGAAAAACTATTGTATTTTATTATTATGTGAAAGATTGAAGTCAATTTGTCTTTTTGAGTTTTATAAAGTAACAAATTTTTCAATATTATGAATGTTATATTAAATTTAATACATTTTTATTACGGTTATTATACATTAAAATTTAATTAATTTTTTATGAAGGGAGCACCAGTGATGCTCTATTAATAATATTAATCAAATTAAAAATAAATATTAAATTTTAGCGATATATTAACCAACAATGAATTAACTGTCATCCCCATGCCATATACTTAATCAACGTATAAAAATATTATTAACTCAATAAGTATTTATTCTAAAGTTGTTTTGGACCAATTAAACCTTTTCTCAAGAAAAAGGCTAAAAAATGACATATTAAACAAATTCTTCTTTTTCTCATTAGAAACAAATAATTAAAAATATGCTTTTAGCATTCTAAAAATGCTATAATTAAAAAAAAATAATTATTGGATCAAAAGTTATTGAATTTGTCACGTATTTGACTCATCAATTTTAGATATATCAATAAAAATATACCAAAAATGTATATTTTCATGTAAACATTTTAACATTACTATATCGTTTCTTTGAGACCAAATATTATAAAAAATATACTAAAAATTAATATGTAATTACAAATTATATGTAATTTAAGTCATCATCATGGTTTAACAAGTTATTCTAAATAGGTATAAATTTTAGGAAGTGAATTTTAAATTTATTGTTTGAAATTATAATCTTAATTTTTTAGCAAAAATTAAAACAAAAATTGAAGTTACATAATTTGTTTTGACCCAGCACGATAGACATAAAACTGGAACGCATTAAGTTATGATTATGTAAAATAATATCATAAATCAGCTATGGTCAATAAAATTATAAATAAAACTGGAAATTTATATACTATATGTTAATTTTTTTAATTGATACATTAAATGACGTCATATGTCTTTTTAGCCTTCAGATCATAGTAGTTTTCACTTTTATTTATTATTTAATACAAATGATAATTAAGACTCAAATACTTTTATTGTACAATTATAATTAAAATTAATTACCGTAAATCAGTATATGAACGCTATAAAATTCTAATAGTAAATAAGTATATATAATTAATTTTTTTTAAAAACATCCTAAATAATGCTTTTTAAGGTGAACTGGAGATCGTTTCATAATCATTTTAAAGCAGTTTTAGAATGAAAATAATACTTGGCTCTAAGTTTTAAGAAAAAAAAATACACAAATTGATTTCTTAAGCGGTAGATAAATAATAGAGGTTTTAATGGAGAAAATTTATTATAATTATTTTATTACCTAATTAAAATCCTTCATTGTGTAATTCAGTTTGTATCAATTTTCAAACATTTAACATCTCTATAAATGTATTACTATCATTTATCAACCAATTTATAAATTTAGTAGCATTATAGGTGTATAATATTTATATTAGTGGTTTTTAAATGCATATTTCAAGTCAAACATTAGAAATTTACATAACTATTCGTACCTAAATTTGTCGATATTTTTGTTAAAATTATTTCAGCTTTATGATGTATTTATACTTTAACATATTTATATAATTTAAAACAAATACAAGTTAATATTTGTGTAATTTTTGATATCTCTTTTATATGGTTATAACTATATGTAAGCTTTAGCTTACTTATGATAACTTAATGAGATTATTTTTAAATATTATTATGCTAAGATAATTATTTTCTGTATCTTTTAGTACCAATTATTTCTTGATGTATCAATATAAGTACTTTTTTTAATTCAACCCGTAAACTTTATAAGGGTGTCAATTTAATTTATTTAAATAGTAACATACATATTTTACTGAATTATAAAATAAAAATTACTGAATTAAAAAAATGAATAGTCGATTACAAATTTCATCTCAATATTTTGAAAGTTATTACCATTTTAAAATTCAGGATGGAGAAATTAATTCCTGAGATTTTCACATTATTAATTTAGGTAAATATAAAAAATGTTTACACATTTTTTTAAAACTTTAATAAAAACAAATTAACTAGTAAAGTTTGATTAATTTTAGGGTGTGATAATATTAAATTAAAGTAAAAATTGTCATAATACAAATCAAATTCGCTGTGTTATACTATTCATAATTAAAATATTAAAGAAATAATTGCCAACAATTGTCTTTGATTTTTATTCATATTAACATTAAAAAAGTTATATCTATTAACATACATAAAATTATAATAATTTATAAATTAATTGTAGTCATCAAAAGTATTTAATGCATAAAAGTCATTAAAATTTTTACTTAATACAGATAAATTAGTTAGTAAATATTTTAATGAATACAATTTGAATGATTTAACTAAAGTGTTCCCGGTTTTTGGGAATACTTGAATTGATAGAATTTAGATGGTGAATCGAGCAATGTTGAGATTATAAACAAAATCAATAAAAACATTTGCTTCATAATGATACGAATTATCATTAACAATTTAAAATTTAACATAATAAAATCAGTACGACTACAACTTCATGGCGATAAGAACTTGTTCCAATCACTTTTGAGAAATATACACAAAATGATTTATGAATACATCACACGACGAAAAGTCAACAGAAATAATTCTAATAAAATTACTTTTTCACAAAATAAGTTAAAATGAGTTAAGTTTCCAATGCATTCAACCGAAATCGACTGCATATCATCGATAAAATACTTGTGTTGCTCACTCAACCATTATGATTAAGTGACATGAAGTAGATAGATTACACTTCTGAAGAGGTAGAAGGTTGGGGTGAGTGCTGTTGGATGGCATCTGGCGCAGTTTCGATTGACGGGTCACACGAATATAACACTTGTTGGATAGTCTGTCCGTCGAGAGTGATTAGAGAGGTCGATTGTGGTGGATCAATGGCTTGGACGTAGGCCACATCTCCTTGGGTTTCAAGTATGCGGTAGTAAAGTTGTTGTTCTTCATTAAGACCATCTTTCGACTCCGTCTCCGTCATGTCCAGATCACCAATTGAATGCGATAAAAATTCCGCTGAATCTTCTTGAGATAACATTCGGTTTTCTTGTAAAGCCTTTGCAGAAAAAAGAAAATTGAAAAAATATTTAAAGCATTTTATTTATCAATAATACGTGTTAATTCTGAACCAATACATACTTTGATTGTTCTTTTTATTGTTATAATGCTACCTGGTTCGATTGGATTATCTAATTGTACATCAGTTGCAGTCAATTCGAATCCCTCGGTATCTAAATTAAACACAATCATCAAAATAAACGTTTTAATTTGCAATTAGAACTTTTGTATGATCGGACAGAAAGTAAAAATTCGTTTGTCAAAAAAATAAATTTTTTAATGGACACAGATTTACCAAAAAATAATATAATCTAACAGCTTATTGAATTACTCGTGGAAAAGTTCATTAATTCGCCATTACTATAGAGAAAATACACGAATTGTTTAAACTAAATAATTTTATGAATAAAGTAAATATAATTTTATTTACAATAAAGTTTATAAAAATAAACCTTTCCATAAAAAATTGAAAAAATTACAAGGTTTATTTTACTTTTTTTTAAATGAGAGCTATCAAAAACAACACTTAACATTTTTAATATAAAATCTCAATGTGGTATACAATAAGTTTTTGTTTCATCTTAGTAAAAACAATTACTATTTTTTTGTATTTACCTGTAAATTGAAGATTAATTGTTTGAGTGTGTTGTTCAGTTGTTACATAGTTTTGTTCCGTTTTTTTAGTTTTGCTTCCAGACTTTTTCGTATTTTTTGGTACTTGAAGAAAGTCGGGTAATAGTTGACAGTGATTTGCCCGCTGGTGTTTTAAAAGCTTATCTTTCAGCACATATTGTTTATAACACCACTGACAACTATGGACTTGCGGTTTATTCACTTTTTTACCAGATGGTTCACTGTCAATAATAACAGTCTGCAAAAAATAATAATAATTAAAAAAGTATCCAGCATAAAAATTTAATATTCTATTTTTGTTAAACGTGACTTACTTTTTCAGTTGGTTTTTGTGGTAGATCGCAGTTGGGATGATTTTTTAGTATATGCGATTTTCTTTTAGCGTTCGTTTTATAAACCTAATTTTACATTTAGCAGATATTATATGACTGAAATACACGAGAATGATATTTGAAATGACTTACTTTGTCACAGTACAAACATACGTATATTTTAGTGGTGTTCCCGACCGGCTGATTTAACGAGGGAACCGAATCGAGGTCTATTTCAGGGTGCCTCGAAACTAAATGGTTAACGAACACTCCTCTTTTTTTAAACCCCACAACACACTTATCACATCTAAACACGGAATTCTCGTAATCTAATATGGATTTTGGGGATTTCTGAAATATTTATTGAGTTAGGTAACAATCGTATTTTTAATAAAAATACAGTACAAAAAACTCACCAGTTTTACTTGTTTATCCTGTTTTGAAGTTCTACTGGCTTCCAAAATTTTATCATTAGTTTTAGAATTCTTTTTTTTCCCAAGATGTATTCTATTCATGTGTGCTTTAAGTTTGTCTTTCCTTTTAAATTGTTTACCACACATAGTACACAAAAAATCTTTTTGGTCGGAATGGCTGAAAGAAATTATCGTAGTCAAAAATAGTTCTATCACTTAGCAGTTCTAAGTTAAAATTGCAACTTATATAAATGCAAATATAAATGAATCAAAAAATCATACCTTAACATGTGCAGGGCTAAGCTGAAACGGCTGTTAAATAAACGATTGCAATAATCACAAGCAAACTTAACTCCATTGTGACGAGCTCGTATATGCTTCCTTATTAATTTGTACGTTTTAAATTGCTAAATAAATATAATTTATCGTCAATGATTTAATGTAATATTATTGTATTTATTCATAATGAAGAAACATACACTTGTACACATTTGACAGTGGAAAATGTTGTTGACAGCGTGAGTGTAAACATGTTCTCTCAATGATTTTAAGTCAACGAATGTTAATCGACAAATTGGACAATCATAAATAACTCCTTCTAATTAATTTAATAAAAACATGTTCAGTTATTTAATACGTCTTAATGTCTTATGGTTAATACTGTTATTAATTTTATTTTTTAAGTAGACAACATAACATACACACGTGACACTAAAGGACATACCCAAACCGTTTTACATTAAATATAAGATTTATTTAATTAAATTTATCCTAAAGACTAAAATAGTATCACAGCTATTACACGAATTTAAATGTATTTCAAATTATTACCAACCAAAATGAGTCCGTACATGACAAGTAAGTGTTACTGTGTTTAAAAACCTTTTGTCACACATATTGCATTTAAACGGTTTCAATTCATCTACTTTATGTTTTGCTTGATGTGCCTGTTATAAATAAAGCAACGTCAGAAATTTTGAATTTAATTACTAGTGCATGCCGATTGCTTCAAGTTACCTTTAAATGATTTGTATTTCTGTATCGTCTTTCACACTGCTGGCAATTGTAAATAGCCACGCAACCTAAAGCTCCACCAGTGAAACTATGAGCACTGACGTGCTTTATAAGCTCTTCTGCTTGAGTGAATTCCTAAACGAAATTAATTTACTGTAATGCATTAGCTTATGTCAAGATATTTTATGGAAACGTTGACATTATATACGATGTATACATTAAAATGTCTAAGGATAACAGTAATAGGAACAACACAATTAGTACTAACGGTTTGGCATTCAGGGCAGTTTGTCTCTACAGATGTTAATTCTTTACCATCAAAGTCATCGTCGTGGATTTTGTTGTGTATTAAAATTGTTTCACGTTTAGTGAACTTTAAGTCACACGCTGTACACATCCAAATGTTTCTGAAATAAATAAAAATTAGTATTGTATACAAAATTAATATTTATGAGCAAGTCAACGTGAAAAATGATACTTACCTTAAACTTTTATCAGTTTTGAGCTTTGACTTTAAAGGCACTTTAGAACTAGTTTGGCTTGTTAAACATAAATTGCACTGTATATTTTTCGCAAGACGATTTGTCGCTAGTCGTTTTTTTGTTACATGTTTGCAAGTAGTTACTATTATTTTACCCTGAAATAAATTGAATTTTGAATTACTCAAGAACATTAACATAAAAGGAATATAATAATGAAAAAATACCGTATTTGTTTTGGGAGATTTTCCTATGGTGTGAGTTTTTTTGTTTATTTCTTGTAGTGCTTTCAAAGGTTTAAATGGTTTTCGAAATTGAGTTAACATTACTTGATTATTATCTAAATGTAACACAATTATTACAATTATTTTTTATTTAAAATTTTTTTAATCATAAAAATACTATAGTTTATTTTTTATCAAAATTCCTTCATTTTCTCTAACAAAATAATTTATTTATAATTATTTTTATAAAACGTATTTTGATAGTTAATAATTAATGAAAATTGTTTGTGTGAAATTTTAACTGAATTTTAATTAATCGAATTTACTATTTATTTATTAAATTATTATTTATATCAAAAATTATCTTAAGCAGAGAAATGTTTGTTTCGATGAACAATTTTTTTTGGCCCATATTTTCATTAATTTTTGGTATTTTATACAACATAAAATATTAAAATATTCGACTTAGACCATGTAAAAAAAAAAACACTATCATTATAAAGTTAATTTTTTAAAAACAAATTTAAAAAATTCGTTTCAAAAATAAAATTTATCTATAAATGTGTGCCTTCATTTTGAGAGGCATATAAAATAATAAGGAAAATTGTATTTTTCAATTTTGTTATACATTATTGGTATATGAAAGTTTAACAGACTGACGCGCGACAAAAGTATATATCGGGCAATGAATATTTTTTTTGCCAAAATGTATTCACTTAATTGATATTGGTTAGTAATAGAGGTTACAACTTGTATTCATTAAAAAAGGTTTAGAACAATCTTTTTAAATTTCCCAGGAAAACGTTTCATCGAAGAGAGAGGGAAATCCGTGTTCTACAATTTAATACACAAGTCATAACATAGATGTTTGTTTTACTTTAACTACGTTTATTTAATCTATGAAAGTGTAACTACAAAGATCAGTAAACCGGTTCTATATGTACTTTACCATGCTCTTACTCTCATACAATATGACATTGAACTTCCTTTAGCTAAAAAGATACGAGGAGAAAACTCAAGAGCAATTACACTTCTAAGTATTTCTACTTTTTCAATCTTTTAATTAATTTTATTTAACCAAGCCCTCTATAGTAAAAAGTTAATTACACTTGTTTTTTGGTTAGGTTAAACATTTTTATATGTAATTAATATATTTTTTGTGAATAATAATTCAAAATATTAATTTTATTTTTAATGACAAAATAGAATTTAAAGTAATCTTTTTTTATCTAATAGAGTCATAACAGTTATTTTGTTAACTCATTAATAAAATAAGCTTAAAATTTTTCATTTAATAACTGGATATTTTAATGTTTGCTATTATGCTATTTGACCATAGATAATCATACAAGATAAATAAATACTGCAAAGTTACATTAGGTTACAACCAAAACTGGATAACTAAATAGTTCATCTTCGTTTACAACAAGACACATATATTGGTAAATATTATTTCTAGGAATTTCATTCCACTGCATTTGTTATTCGAAATTTGAACTACTTACATTAATATATCGCATTATAAAATAATTTTTAAACGTATAACGACTTATTTTATATAATTAAATTATTATTAACTAACAACAAGTAACATTTAACAAACCTGAAGACAATATGGGAAGACCTCGTTTATGTGCATAGAATGTACTATAACCAACAAGTAATTCTTCTCTTTGGTAAATTGTTTTGGTGGTTGTAAAAAAAAGATAATCTCCAATTTGATCTACTCGCATGTTTTGATCTTGCTTCGTTTTTGCTGGTCTTACGAAACACATCCAATTAGAGTTATCTGTAATAACAAGAAGTGTGTTGTTGATGATATTTATTTATTAGCACAAGATAGTTAACAAAAGCTATTTATAGTTTCAAGATTGTTTTTATTTAGAAAACATTATGTAAATTAAAGACACGTGTAATTTAAGGGTAAATAACAATAACAACGAGACTATACAACAAAAACAACATATGCCGACAGGAGTCGAAAATCAGGTACAAGAAAAACAATAACTTTCCAAAACATGAAAATACAAACTATGTTAACCTTTTCGAAATATATAAAACTGATAAAATTTTTAAATTAGGCCTATTTAAAAATAATGAATAACAATTATTTTGAAGACCTAAAAAAATAATGGATTTCTTAAACGTTTTTGAAGATGTTCTGCCAAATATTGTAATTTTTTTTTTTAACAAGTTAGCTAATTAGAATACTGACCTGATAACTAGTTAATAAAATAAATTATGAGAAATATGAGTCTAAAAGAAAATTAAACATTTAAGGCATAAATGAATTAAAGTTGCAGTAATAATTTTAACTCATTAATATGCATGATTATTTTATTTGATGAGTTGTTTGTATTTTAACATTTAAATACTGAACAATAGCAAACAAAAATACTCAACATTTGAGGTATTAAATAGGCTATTTTCAAAAAAGATATAAGAATTGTTATTACTATAACTAAATCAAACAAATAATAGATTTATATTTTGAAGGATCAAAATCAAATAAAACTATTAAGTTTACAATATTAATCATGTTTTTTGTTATTGCATTTTTTGTAAATAATAACGTATTAACTATCTTTTATTCCACTAAAGATAAAAAAAAATGTATAGTTATAAATATTATTATAAACTTTTTAAGTATAAATTTTATTACGATGCGAAGCTGAGAAGTTATAATTTTACTATTATNAAATGTATAGTTATAAATATTATTATAAACTTTTTAAGTATAAATTTTATTACGATGCGAAGCTGAGAAGTTATAATTTTACTATTATTTTTATTTTTTTTTTGTGTCTGTTACCACTTTTTCTCAGCTCTCACCGAACCAATTTCTTTCAACGATAAGTCAAAATATCGTAAATAGTATCTAGTCGAAGACATTACCCTTAAATATTGAGAAAATTTCCCTCGTTCTCCGTAAATGGGGGAAACCTCCAAAAAATTACAAATTATAAAATCACTAATTTTTANTTTTTTTTTTGTGTCTGTTACCACTTTTTCTCAGCTCTCACCGAACCGATTTCTTTCAACGATACGTCAAAAGATCAAAAATCTTATCTAGTCGAAGACCTTACCCTCAAAAATTTAAAAAATTTCCCTCGTTCTCCGTAAATGGGGGAAACCTCCAAAAAATTACAAATTATAAAATCACTAATTTTTTATTTTTTTACTTAATATTGCCATAACTTTATTCAAAATGACCAAATCAATATAATATTTTTTTATAGATGCATGATGTTTTACCTATCATTTGGTTTATTTAATTATAAATCTGACCCTTTAACTGTCTACAGGAGGGATTTAAAATGACTTTTTCGCGAAAAATTAACTTTTGAGACTGTTACGGAAAGTTTGACACTTTTATATATATCTTAAAATAATGCTAATGTAATATACTTTATCATGGAAAAAAAAAATTTCGGTGTTTATATTGTCTTTACGGTAAAAATGGCTACTGTATGCTATAATTGTGTTAAAATTCTCGATTTTATATTTTATATTATTAACTTTATATTTATATAACTTTTTGAAAAATATATGGATCAATTCAATTTTTTATGATAAATACTATTTATATAACTCTTTCATTCGACTTTTTTTAAAATAAAACCATTTCCCTTTATATATTTATATATTCTAAATATTTTACACTTATAAATCATAAAACTTGTAATCTGGATATAAATAAGGAAATAGAAGATCATGTAGCTTTAGGAATAATCACCAATTTTTTTAAATTAAACACTATTTTCAGATTTGCATCAAAGCAAATTTTTAATTTAGTGATTTTAATCACTGTCAGATATCATTATACTTGACCCAACTATGCTACATCCCCACTGAGCTGTGTTTTTTTTTTATTATTGTTGAAATTTAACGGTTTTAAAATTTTAGTCAAATTAATTGGATAGTTTACAAAATATAAAAAAGATTACAATAAGTGTTTAGTTTATTTTTAGTTATTAGTGAGATGGACATAATGCCCATTCACTCGACCTGTTGATCCATCGTGTTCTGTGTCTACAATAGGTTAATAAGGTTATTTTTTCTTTGAAGACATATCTTCATGTGGATAATAAGTTGTCGCTACTTTGTTTCGCTGTCGAATCAGGATGAGAGGGGGCAATGCATGTTCACTCTCATCAGCTTCCTAGGGCAATCATTCATTTGGCGCTCTATTTAACATGGTTAGAAATATTGTAGAATTTATTTTATATTTATTCTAATTCATTGTAAAATAAAATTGAATAACAGAGGAGGTTTTTTGTTTTTGGGGATATTTTTGGTCAATATACTAAAAACATGTCTGTAACAAAATATCTGTTTTAATGCATATAATAAAATTAAAAGGATTTTTACAAAAATTTTAATTTTTGTTGTTTTTGTTCCACCCTAATAAAACTACTAATTTATTAAATAAATAAATAAGCTCTGTTGAAAAAAGTAGTAATCAGAGATCAATAAAATATTAATTTTCATTAATATAAATCAAATATTTGAGCTTTTAGCTTTTTTGTTAAAAAATCAATAGTATATACTAAATATCAGTGTTATTGCTAGAATTTCTTTCTGGAAGAACTAAAATTAAAAATATATTTTACTGAATTTCATATTGGAACTTTTTTTGTTTTTTGTTGAATACATTAATTTGAAAAATTACCTTAATGTTTGGGCTATTGTTTCTGTGTTTCCCTATAGATGTCATTGTTGTATATAATTTATATTTAAAAGTTAGGGTATCCAAAATTTTAATTTTATTTTTGCAACTCCAATGGGAGCGTCCTCACAGGCTACTAATGTTAAGTATTTTATATATGTATTTTCTAAACTATTTATTTATTGTAAAACTTTTTTTTTTACAGATTGCAAATTTCATAAATAAAAAAATAAATAAATAAAATAAATTTTATTTTTTGAACTCATTGTTATAATAGCTTCCTATGGGTGTAAAACTATAGAAACTTAATTGAGAAATAAAAAATTCCATAATTTGAGAGCTTAAAGTTTAAGTAAAATAAATTTTTTGTTAATTTTTATACCTTGTGCTATAGATATTTTATATGAAATTAATTTAAATGTCACCAAAATAATTTATATGAAAATACCAAAAAATTAAGTAGAATTTGATTAAAATTATTTAAGTATTAGTTTTGTTGCAAATAAAAAATGTTTATTTGTGTTATCATATAAAATAAAAATCCTCAATCATCTTATTGAACATGGGGTAAATTGACTAGTAATCGAACAGTTAAGAATTTATTGAACTTTAATATTATTACAAACTATTTAATTTTATAATAATGATATAATTTATAATTTAGTAGATTATATTAAATACGTTGAATTAACACATTTTTTTTATTAGTTTCATATACAAAACCATAATTAAATGAATTTTATATTATTAATGGACTTACACGTAGTAATATGAAAAATATAATGCGAAGATAATATAATCTCTATATAAGTTATTTTTGGTATTAATCTTAGAGTTCTTAGCTATTTATTATGACCTCTATGAATGGAAAAAGCTAGAAAATATAAAAAAAATATGTGTAAATAGAATCCGCTACAATCGTTGTTACTCAGGTTGAGTAGCATTTTTCTATATCAAAAAAATATCTATTTATACATATCGCACCATAAATCCAACACTATATAGCTTAATGAATGTACTGTTATTTCAAAATTCTAGATAAATCATTTAGTGGCTAATCGTGTAGGCCTAACATCCAATAAGCAGTTCTTTTGATAATTTATTCTTATTTATATCAAATATAACACATAGCGCGCCTGACATTGGAAACACTAACATTTTGATTTCTAAAAAGTCATGAATAATTTGTTTCAAAAATGTATGCAATTTAAATTTTATTAATTTGTACTTAAAATTTTACTTTTTAACTTATTATTAGCTTTTTTTGCATCGTATTATAATTCTGAATGCAATTATTAAAAAGTTTCAAAATGCTATTATTAGACCAGAACATCTTTTACATTTTAAAATTTCGAACCTTAATCAAATAATCAACAATTAAATAAATTAATTAGTATAAACGGGATTTAAATTCTAAATTATATAAATTGGCATACAATTTTGAGTAGTAGAAAATATAGAAGAACTTAGATTCTAAGTTCTTAGATAATTAACTTCTATGTCTTAGAAGTTAATAATCTACAATTTTATACGTCAAAGTATAATTTATATAATTTTTGGAAATATTAAATACATGCATAATAATTACTTTAGAGATTTGATTTATCGTGTATATTTTTCTTTTAATTTACGACTTTTAACAATAAATTAATTTACTTCTGATTGCATATGTCTATAATGGCTAATATATCCATACATAACAATGGTTGGTGTAGTTAAAATACTTCTAATCTATAGAGTGTTCAGTAAGGAAGGAAAAGGGTTTCTATTATTCTCGTTGTTTGTAACAGTGGATCTGTTTCCATATTTTTTGAACGCCTATAAATTTCTTAAGTTCAAATATTACCACAAGGAATCTTCATGGATCACGGGAATGACAACCATGCGGACCCTAATCAATTATTGGGGGTGGAAACACGCACAATTAATCATACAGCCATTTATTTCCAATTTTTAGGACTGGTAAGCAATAAGCATTCCTGCTTATAAACAGCAAATCGGTTCCCAAACCCTCCATGCCAAGTGAGAGAGACTTGTCAATGTGGTAGTATACCGTAAGGTTAAGTTTACATTTGGTAACCTCAATAGTACTATATGCATCACAGAGTATACAGCCTTACCGCAGTATCGAGCTCTACTGTGGTGGACATTTCTTGACTTTGTTAAAACATTTATAAATCACAATAAGAGATAATATTGTGAAAATCATGGATCCAATTTAGTAAACCCTATAACAAGTATAAAACAACGAGGCTCTATAGAATACCGTTTGATAATTTACAATACATGATAAACTAGCAAAAAGACGAAAGAAAAGTCAACATGCAGATACTAAGAGTAATTAGATCAACTGGTATGTTTTTGACTAAATTGAAAAGACTCAGAATTATCTTGTGAGAGCAGGATCATCTAATTAACGAAACCTATGGGAACAAGAATATGAAAACAACGAAAATCTAAGAAGATCGTTGAATTACATAAAATACTTTAATGTTAAGAGGAGGCATCTAATGAAGAATCGTGGTAATAGGGGACCACAATAATGTACCACTGTTTTTATGATGAATCATTAAGTAGCAGAAAGATGAAAGTGAAATCAAAAAATGAAAGATGAGAGACGATAAGACCAATTGGTATTGTTAGTGATTAAACTGAAAAGATTCATAATTATCTTTCAAAAGTAGGGATTTAACTAACCCAACCTTTAAGAATAAGAGTGAAGCTCCATAATGCTAAACTAACTCCACTTTGGTGATAACATATTTTTTATCATAAAATTGAATATGGCGTGTGTACAATGGACTGCAAAATCAGAATGCATGAGCAGTCAATAAGCCCACTCTTTTAATAACTAAAATCAGATTTTCGTGTATAGTTTGTTATAAATAGAACATAATAATTAAATCTTAAAAATATCCAAACACGCCTCAAGTCTTCGCACATTTTAGTACGTTTATTGGATCTAAATAAATTTAAGAATATATCAAGATTTTTACTTCAATTAGTTAATAAACAGGGAAGAAACAATAATTTTTATTGTGATGAAATATAATATCAATTAAGTATAAAAAATCATTAGCTATAAAATATCCGTGTTAAAAGACCTTAATTATTAAAAATATTTTACTTCATGATAATTTAATAAATTACTCAATTGTAATTTACAATTCAACCAATAAACGGATAATTTTCTTTGCTCGAGTGAGATAGAAAACGTGTTAAAAGTGAGGGTAAGCAGCATGATTAGAAAACTTCAGATGACACTCTCTCTTGTAGAAACAACAAACTACATTTTTTCTCCGACAAAGACAGATAAAGAGATCTGTTTTTTTTTTTTTTGCTAAAACTGTATTAGCAATACTATATAGAAGTAGTCAACAACATTCTTCCGTGATTTCGTCGTTAAAAGGCTATTTTGGCACGATTTCATTGTTATTAAGTTAAAGTGCCACAGTAATTGATTACTTCCCTTCTCTTGACGTTTAACACTATGTTATTAAATATCGTACAAGTGATTTGTATATATGTTGTCTTAAATTTAAGTTTAACATTATTGTGATGATAGATAAAATAGTAGACACAATGATAACATCAGGCAAAATAAAAATAATAATACATTTACCCCCAAAAAAATATATCATTAATTTATATAAAAAATTTACACTATTTTAAGAAGTAGATTTATAAAATAAAAAATATACTTCATTACAAATATTAAAAACTAAAATCCTTATAGTGGCGTATTGACTACTGTTAACAATATTAAATGTATCTTTTGTGGAATTTTGACGTTGATTTCAAATCCACCTATACATTTTTACCATATCTAGTTTTTTTTACATTTAAGCCATATTTAAACAATTAAATCACTAAAAAAATTTAATAATAATATTTTTTAATTTTCCAAATAAATTCGATAGTGTCAAAAAATAGTTATGCGAAATTTGGACTTATTCGTCAATTTCAATCGTTTTTATAACCTATTAATTTTTAGTTTACTGGGCATTTTTCAAAAATAAAGTTGAATTTTCTAAGTTGAGATAGTATTTGGTGCTTAGTTAAATTCTATTATTGATCATTTTAGACAAATATTGTTATTATCATTAAAAATACAAAAAAATTATGTCTAAATTATACTTTCTTGCTTGAGCAATTTTCATCATTTGTGTAATATTATTTTCTATGAGTGATTAAATTTTTTTAGTAGGAATTAATTTTTATTTTGCACTACTGGCACGAAAATTTATATAAAATAATTTTTATATTTTTAGTATTTATCTCTTTAAATTGTCAATAAAACATTGTTAAAACATAGCAAAAAATAATTTATAATAAAAAAAATGTGTATGTGTTTAGCGTTGATAATGGTAACATTGTTTCCGAAATATGTATCCGCGACTTTTCATTAATTTTTTGTGGCTTTGAGTTAAATATTTTTAATATTTTTTAGTTTTTTAAATTAATAATATCTTTAATATAATTTTAATTTTACTTAAAATAATTTAGACTAAAATTCTAATGACTATATTTAATTTAAAATTCAACTAATAAAAATAATTTATGTCATCATCTCTTTTAATACAGAAAAAACTTCTTCCGAGAATATTTCTATTACTTTAGTAATTTTTTACATTATGAATAAAATTTAATGTTAACGTCATGTTACGTTAACACATTAAAAATATTTATTGTAAAACTCAAATTCTTACCAAATAAATAACAGTTGTTTACTGTTTTTTTTTTACAGTACTTTTAACGGTCAAAGTTAAAATTTGAAATATACAGCAAATTAAATTTTTTACAATCTACTTTAAAGGTTGCATAAGGAACAGCAAATTAAAAACAAGAATCTGATATAAATTTCTAATAAAAATTACTAGAATAAATAAATGCTAGAAACAAGAAAAAATTACTGGCTGATAATATTAAATGACTTTTTCTACATATGGGTATTTAAGAATCACAGTACGGGGGGAGGGTTAACGGTAGCGCTGACCCATTTTGACTTATGTCTTAGTATCGCTTACATTAATTCACCACTGTTCTCTATGTAAACCAGTTCAACTCGTTTTTTGAAATCGAAAATGTGCGACAAAATCCACTAACGAGGGTCTACATGCGGCAGATACGCAAAATGATAATTCATTCTTGACGTTAACACGTTCGCGGAAGGTTTACGTTTTGTCATAGTAAAATTATCTTGACACAGCAGCGTTTAATAAACTCATAACGTTCAGGAAAAAACTATCATAATGATTCCTATACGTGCAGTTTTAACTGTTGCAACCTTTTGGATACTAGTTCTCGGAGTAAATGCTGCTGAAGAAGCAACGAATACTACGTTCGAAAAGTCTACTAATAGTCAAGACATGACAGTTAACGTGACAGCTGCGGCAATGAGATTTGTTGAATCTTATGTGGTTCCTACGGTATGCAATTATTCCCCTGAGTTTTGCGCCAGACATCATTTGCGTACGTAAAAAAATTATTTTTAGAATGTTATTTACAAAATTATTATTATTATTAATGTAAAAACAACAGCTATTTTGAAAATAAACATTAAACATTTTTTAAAAATATATAATTGCCAAGTAATTTCATTGATTTGCATCATATTTGACTTTTACATATTTGCATTGGACCTAGACCTTAATATCGTCTCCCAAAACATTTTATTTTCATTAAGATATTTTTGCAATATTCCTTAGATATTTTTAATACGAAGTAATACAAAACATTCTAATTCTAATGTATCCAGATTCCATTTTTATAATAATGTCTCTTAAAATTCAATGCATTCTAATTGATTTAAAAAAAAGGGACAGTTCGTAAGAATAGAACTGAAGATTTGTTAATTATTTTAGCTTCGATGCGAAGCCGAGAAGGTATTGGTTTTACTATGAGGTGTTTTTTTTTCTGTGTGTGTGTCTGTTACCACTCTTGCCGAACCGATTTCTTTCAACGATACGTCAAAATATCACAAATCGTATCTAGTCGAAGACATTACCCTCAAAAATTGAAAAAATTCCCTCGTTCACCATAAATGGGGGAAACTTCCAATATAATATTTTCTTATAGATGCATGATGTTTTACTTATCATTTGGTATATTTAATTATCAATCTGAATCTTTACCTGCCTACAGGGGGGGATTTAAAATGACAAATTTTTCGCGAAAAATTAACTTTTGAGAGTGTTACGGAAAGTTTGACACTTTTATATATATCTTAAATTTATGCTAATGTAATATACTTCATCATGGAAAAAAAAATTTCGGTTTTTATATTGTCTTCACGGTGAAAATGGTTACCGTATGCTATTTTTGTGTTAAAATTCACGATTTTATATTTTACATTATTAACTTTATATTTATATAACTTTTTGAAAAATATATGAATCAATTCAATTTTTTTATAATAAATACTATTTATATACCTCTTTTNATGGATCAATTCAATTTTTTATGATAAATACTATTTATATAACTCTTTCATTCGACTTTTTTTAAAATAAAACCATTTCCCTTTATATATTTATATATTCTAAATATTTTACACTTATAAATCATAAAATTTGTAATCAGGGTATAAATAAAAAAATAGGAGGAGCTCATGTAGCGTTTGGAATAATTACCAATTTTTTAAAATTGATGATTATTAATGCTCTTTATGCTCTTATAAAAAACTTGATACATATTTATTCGAAGAAGTGTTTTAAAATTGGATATTAAGCATTCTACCAATAAATTACCACCTTGATATTATGAATCAAATAATTTTGTTTACAAGAATTACTAGAAAATATTTTTCAGTAACAGTAGCACAATTTTTTTGGGAAGATTTTACAATAATAAATTTAAATAGTTTTATCTAATATAGTTACCAAAGTATTTATAAGGCATACAGGGATATGTAGTATTTCAAAATATTTATTTCAAATACATTTCTAGTTTACTTTAAATTAGTTAAAAAGAAATTCTTTTACCGTATTCTAACTGTTATTTTTTAACAGGCTAAACCACTTTTTTAAAGAGTAATTTATTTACAGAAAAATGCTATATGAAATCTGACTAGATTTTCAGTAATGTTTACAATAATGTTCTTATTTTAAGAATTATAACCAACAAATAAGTAAATAGGACTGCTGTTTTGCGACTGAATGTAAAACCAGTTCAGTATCAAAAATCTTATAACAAATTAAAGTTTAAGAAATGTGAAAATGTTATATAGTTAATTTTGGCTTGGATACAAAATATCAAAAATACAGTTTTTATGTTTAATATTTATAATCTAAAATATGATGAAATAAAAAAAGAAATTCTAGTGATATTTATACGCAAATTATTTTTATACAATTTAAATCATTAATTTTGTTTAATTTAATACCATGTCTACTTAATATTTTATATTAAAGTCAACCTATAATATTACTTAAAATTAATAAGTATATAGTTGATCGTGTCAAGTGGAAGTTTACGATAAGGGTGGCCGACCCCCAAGTTAGAGTTAAGGCGACGAAAAAGATCTTTTTAATAATTAAATATACGTTTCTTAGATAGTTATATAAAAAAACCCAGCATAGGGGGGGGCACAGTGGTGATGTAGTTGGATCAAGTATAATCATATCTGAAAGTGATTAAAATCATTATAAAAAAAAACGCTTCGATGCAAATCTTTAGATAGTGTTTAATTTTAATAATTGGTGGATTATTCCAAAAGCTACATGATCTGTTAGTTCCTTATTAATATCCTGATTAAGATAAGGTATGTCGAATGAAAAAGGGATTATTAGAAATATTATTTCTCATAAAAAAATTATGTTGATCCATACACTTTTCAATATGTTATAGCATTATAAAGTAAAAAATGTAAAAAATAAAATCGAGAATTTTTACACAAAAATAGCATTTAGTAGCCATTTTCGCTGTGAAGACAAAATAAAATCCGAAATTTTTTTTTTCATAATAAAGTACATTACATTAGCATTAATTTAAGACATGTATAAACTTACAGACTCAGACTTTCCGGNATCCGAAATTTTTTTTTTCATAATAAAGTACATTACATTAGCATTAATTTAAGACATGTATAAACTTACAGACTCAGACTTTCAAAAACATTTTCAAACATTTTCAAAAGTTAAGTTGAAAAAGTTAATTTTTCGTGAAAAAGTTGGCATTATAAATCCCTCCCTGTGAGCAGTTAAAGGGTCAGATTTATAAAAAAAATATACCAAATAATAGATAAAGACATCAAGCATCTATAAAATATAAATTAATTTGTTCATTTATAAAAAAGTTATGGCAGTTTAAGTAAAAAAAATTGAAAACAATTTGAAAATTATCAATTTCCCCATTTACGGAAACGAGGGAAATTTTTCCAATATTTAAGGGTAATGTCTTCGACTAGATACGATTTGTGATATTTTGACGTATCGTCGAAAGAAATCGGTTCGATTTGAGCTGAGAAAAAGTGGTAACAGACACAAAAAAAACACATCATAGTAAAATAATACCTACTCAGTTTCGCATCGAAGCTAAAAATATTGAACTATCATTTTTTGTATTAAAGAATTACTAAACCTACATTATTAAGTGATATAATAATTAACATTTATTTTTGTGTTTAGAATCAAGAGGAATCCAGAGTTATCTAGCTACAGCAGGAACAATGTTAGCTGGAGTAATGGGGATAATTTTAATGAAAATGAAAATCTTGGTCATTCTAACTTTAATGAGTACAATAATTGGTAAAATGTTACTGTTCTATGCTTTCTTAAAGTCCGACCATTACCATCATCACAGTCATAAGCCTCATCACTCTGTGCCGTATGTGAAATATACAAAAGATAAATATTATATTAAACACAGCCCACATTTAAGTTCTCATGATGCAGTTGTTGAAGATATTGGTCATTCGCCATATTCAAGTCCTCAATCCTCAGGTGTCTCTTATTACTAATGATTATGACATCTAATCTTTCTCTAATAATAATATCCATTATATGGATATAGAAGGTACCATGTACGTACCTTAAATGTTTTATTTATTTATTATTTGGTTTTTATTGACATTGTTAAGCATAACAACTTAGCATTATTTGAAACAGTGTTACCTAATTTGTATTATAAAATGTAAGCAATGTTTTTAGTCTTTAATTTAATTTATTACATTAATTTATTTTCATAAATAATTGAAATTAATTAAAAAACTTAAATAAATAATTTTTTTTTTATATACGCTTTCATCAACCCATCTAGGGCCATAGCGGCCTTCCCAAAGGAGGAGGTTTCTTAACCATTTATACTCCAGGACGGTTGGTTAGTCCGTCGCCGGAGAATGAGATGGCGATTCCAATTACCGAACTGATCTCTCGTTCAGCAAATGAAACCGCCTGTGACCAAGTTTCGAACTTGAGGCAATGCGCGTCAAGCACTGCCGTGTTACCGACTCGGCCACATCGTCCCATAAAGAATTAATTATTTTTATATTTTTGAAATAAATTTACATATCTACTATGAAGGACAAAATATTGGGTTATCAGTGTTGAATCCAGGATTATTTCAGGCGGTCTCCAGCCCCCATGACAATATAATTATTTTAAGAATAGGACGATTTATTTCGTTGAAAAACATTATTTTTTTTTTGCTTGAACCAGTTGCTAAAAAACTTGCTTACAGTCCCCTGAAAAAAATCTGAATTCAACACTGCAGTCGTAATATACTCGTCACTACCATAACATGGGATATTTATACATTCTATTCTTAAAAGAACATAATCCTTTTCAAACAAAGCAATGTAAATAAACATTTAAGAGAAATAGTCAACAAACGCATACTGTTTAGTTATATTGTAATATACACGATTCAATCATAATCAATTAATAGTCACTTTTAAAATCATTCCTTCCGAAAAGAAATCTATAAATTATTTTTGTCATTTTTTTTTATTCTAATTTTATTTTTAAATGCACTGTATCAATCCTAATATTATGTGTAAAAAACTATGTTGGTATTATATATAAAATATCAAAATGATTTGTATAATCAACCTGTAATAATTTCTGTATTTTATGCTTCACTATCAATAAACAGTTATACTGTAAGAATAAGACAATGATGATTTTCTTGGGTACAAAGTATTATAAAAAAGCAGATCAAACCCTTACTCTGGTCTGTTCTAATCGTGCTCTAGACAATGTTACACAAACATCGTGATCATCAATGTCAAAGTTTTTACGTATTAAAGTTGTGAACTAAATCTAATTGTGTTATTTTATTTAACAATTATTGATTAATACTATTATTATATAAGATAATATAGGAACCAAGAAAAATTATCATGTAAGTTTTTTTAATTCATAAAAGTCTATATTTATGTTATTTTATAACCTTCGAATCACACCCCGAATTAAAAGTAACTCACACTCTCAATTTTATCCTCTCTCTATTTTATTAAGCTTTGAGTTACGATACTGCGTAATATAGTTAAGAACATTAATAATCTTAAGATTAATAAATTTATAGTAGTTAGACTTTAGTATAATAAATACGTTTGAAATAATATTTAGATATGTTATGTAAACATAATTTATAAATCATTTTATTTTTTTTGTGAGATAAAACATTGATTTACTACTACTCTTTTTAACGCTATTTAAGACTATTAAGGACCATAGTGGTCTCTACCAAAGAAGGTTTTTTAACCATTGATACTCCTGGACTGGTGATTAGTTCATCACTAGAGAGAGTGATGGCGATTTTAATTAATGAACTGATCTCTCAAATGACGCCAGCCGTGTTGAGTTTCGAACCCGAGGCAGTGCGTGTGAAACACTGCATGTTACAGACTCACAAGTGTGACTTGTCAGCCACACTGTCCCTCTATGTTTACTATTTACTTATTTAAAACTATATATTAAAAAAGAAATAGCAAATAATAATATAATATAATACAATGCTTGTAAATTTCTTTTGAATTTTAATGTAGTTTTCTGTATTTTAAATAAAATTTCAAACAATATATTTAAGCCTAGCCATGATAAACTGTAGAAATTTATTATGTATACGCTGAAATTTACACAATTTTACTTATTTTTTATAATGTATTTAATAGTAGAAAAATAAATTTAAATAGAGTAAGTAACTAATGACAATTAATTATTACTTCAAATGCGATAATCTAAACTCTTTAATGCATTAAGATTAAAAAATGTATAACTACAAAGAGTTGGACATTAAACCATTCAAGAATAAAAAAAAAACTAACCTTCACTTGATACATCGATTCTTCTAAACTGATTTTCATCGACTTCTAATAAATACTTAAATTCATCATTTATGGATTCATTCATACAATCTTCATCTTTAATAACTATTCCTTCTAATGGGCCAAATTGAGTACGTTTTTGAATAATTTTACGAGCAAATACTCCATATTCTGTAGCAATAGAATTAATATTAATTGTATTTAAAAAAAAAAAAAAGGTTTAAATATTATTTACAAAAATCAAACAAAAACTCTCTCTCGTAAAAAAAAAATTATTCTAAGTTTGTTTTTAAAGCAATACACGATGTTATATATTGAGTGATTAATTTTAAAAACAGAGTTATAATATATATATATATAAATAATAGAAACATATTTTCTTATTTTTAAAGCATTATTATCTACTATATTACTCTAATATTTATGGAGTATATCAAATAGCTTTTTATTTTTAGGTTTATATATAAATATTACTAGAAATATTATATTGTCTGCACTTCTGAATAAACTTAATGGAGAATATATTTAATAAGTATGAATAAGTAACTTACTATTTATATTATCACTAGATTTTACTTTCATTATTCTCAAGTGAGAAGATGGCAGTGATGCTCTAGCTCTTGTTTGTACAGCAGGATCTATAATACTATTTACTTGATGTAGAGGACAACTTGTTTCATTTAAATATACTTTGTTGCATTCTTCGCACCCTATAATAGTAAAATATGTAACATGAACTATATACAGTTTTGTAAGTAAAAAATTATAAAAACTTATAATTATGATTAATTGAAACTAGTAATACTGAAAATAATATTTTTCTTTAAAATTTAGCACTAATTTAAATTTTATTTTTAAAAATAATAGCTATTTAAGGAAGTATACATGGGATACCTCACCAACTTCCCAATCTCTAAAACAAGACCAAAACTCTGTATGATAGATGTCAAAATTTCTCAAAGCTACCGAACTAACATCAGGGTAACCTATGTGATAGAGACTAACACTCAATTACTTTCATTTTTAAACAAATCTAATTATGTAAATGGCTAATTTATTGTGTTAAATTCTAAACATATATGTAAACAAGGGCAATGGCCTATGTTGCCTAGGATCCTTTAATTAAATAAAAAATAACTAAAGCTATAAATATAGATAAGCATATTTTGATAATTTATGTAATTTTTGCTTTGTTACAATTTTTTGAAATTTTAAAATAATCAAACACCAGTATTTTAATAAACAATAAGTAATTATTTATATTATATAATGATTATACTAAACAACATTTCCCTGCATCCCAAACAACATCATAGTAGATTCTGAATAGAATTTTGTCACTGATTCTGTGAATCTCGTCTTAGAATTTACAAATTGATTCTAATTACTGAGAAAATTACTGATTAGTGAAAATAAAGTAATTCTTCTTCTTTTTCCTCACATTAATCTCAATTACTTGGGGTTGGCTACCTTTATCCTAAACTTCCACTTGACACAGTCTCTTACATCCTCAACGCTCACATCAGCTGTCCTCATATGGCATTCAAAACTTCCCTCCATCTCATTTTTGGTCTTTCTCTACCTCTTCTTCCTTCAACATTCATTTCTATAACTGATCTTACAGCTTCCCATTCTTCTCTTCTCATGAAAATAAAGTAATTACAAAATTATTAAAAAACCTTATTTTTTTTTTAAATCCTACTTGAAACTTTAATAGGCTGTATTTAAGAGATACTTACAAAATTTGAGATTTATATCTCATGTTTAAGACATTACAAATGGCCTTTAAAATTAATATAATTAAAAGTTTAAGCAAAAAAAAGTTTAATTTTGATTTATGTAAAATCAAATTTGAAAACTATTTTTAGTGTCTAAAAATTAGTTTCAAGTAGGATTTTTTTAAAAAAAATTATTTATATTTAATGATTAATTAATACTTAATTACTTGATTTTCACTAATTAGCAATTTTCTCAAAAACTAAATTCTAAGGCAAGATTCGGAATCTGCAATGAAATTCTATTCATAATCTACTAGTATATTGTATGGGGAGAAAATTGTTTAATTTTTTGTTTTTCAGTATTATACATTATACTATAATAAATTGGCACATACAGTAGTTAGATATAGCAGCAGTCCGATTATTTATTTTACTTATGAAATTTATACTGATATCTTCTTCAATACCCTGGGGTTGTCTAACAAATTCTTCCGCTATTTTTTCAATTGCTTCTTTTGACATTCTTTGAAATCCTAAAAAGAAAACCATTAAATGAAGTAGTCAAAAAAATTATTATCAATGCTGTAATTATTTTTTGATGAATTGAGTGAAGCTATAGTTTCCAAAAAAAAAAAATTACCTTTATTTCTAATCTCTAATTTAAATTTTATCATTTTTTTTTAAACTATTTTGTCAAATAAAATGTTTTCTAATTTATTGAACAATATGAGTGAGGTGGGGTAATTGTAAATACACATGTTTTTACCATGAACTTGCATTTAATATGAAAGCAACACAAATAAAGACCAGAACTTTACAATTTAAACTAAAATATGCTATATTTTCTAAGAGAAAAAACAAACATACAATTATATTTGTTTACATTTACCCCATTATACCTTAGAGTGTTAATATAAAAACATAAAAAATTATTTTGATCATTACAACTAGAGATGCACCGGCTCTTGAGTAATTGTCAAATACCAGGCCTTTTTTTTTTAGAATTCTGCTTTTACCCATTACTTGTTTAGTAAGAATTTTTATATCTGGCTTTTACCTAGTTTCTTTAAGCATTATTTTTATTTGGTACTAATATTACTCTGTTACGACTCATGCAAGTAGTGCTAATAAATACATTTTGTTGTGTTTAATAAAATTATTAATGAAGAAAAATATGTAGGCATATGATGAAAACATTTTTTTTAATTTAATAAATATGTATGAAATTCAATCAATTTATTTTATTTACAATATAGCTATTATTTCAATTAATACTTAAAAGATTTTAGTAAAAGTTTTTTTTCAAAATTATTTAAACAAATATTATATAATGGAGAATTTAAATGTATATGTAGAGTAAAAAAAAAAATAAAAAGTAATAAATATGATCTTATTATTTTTAGGGGTGCCAAATCTGTATATGAGTGGGTTTCAGCTTTCTTTCATAGATCTATAATTTTAACTTAAATGAGAAAGGAATATTAGAAATTTAATATTTTGACCTGTTTATTTCATTAATACTAAAAATTTGGATACCTAGCTTTCACTCAGTATTTGGTTAGTATACAGGTTCACTACTTAGAACATCTCTAATGACTACACACCAGAAGTATGATGTTGGTGGTGAATATCCAAAGAAATTGACTGAGAGGTCTCATCTAATCTGTCTTTTATTTGACTATTATTAATGGGTATATGTGATTCATCAACAACAGCTATATCACAGGTGTCAATATCATCCACTAATTCTTCATGGTTAACTAATAATTCCACATTATGGTGTGTTTTTGGAGATGTTAATAAATTGAGATCATCCATTGTAACAATTTTTTGTCCAATTTGACTACCTTGAATAGATCTAGTTCGTGGTAATACATAAAATCCATTTTCAACTCCACTTATAACATCTCCTTCTTTTAGTGTAACCTCAATATAATTATTTCCATTTTCAGAAAACAAAAATCTATTGCTATCAGAGTCCAAAATCATTTCTTGATTATTTCCTAAATTATTAATATAAGTACTAGTTGGTTTTTGAATCATACACATAGAATCAATTTGTACTAATGAAGAATCATTTGTTAAATTTCCCATCACTGAATGATCATGAGATACTTCTGATAAATGATTAGGTTTTAAATTATATAAATCATTTTGAAAATATTGATCTGGAATTGATACCATAGTTCCAACTTCTGACATACTATTATACTGTGTAATAATGCTAGACTGGGAAAGCTTTGTCATTTCAAATCCACTGGATTGGTTATCTAAATATTATTTATATAATTATAATGTTATATTTTGTAATAATCAAGACATAAGGTAAATATAAAAACTGTTTTATAATACATACCCAAAACCGTCATTGAATCCATATCGCTATTTGTAAGAACATCATATGGTCTACCATTATTATCAGTTAAAACTATGTTATCATTAACAAATGAATCTTTAATAAAATCAATATTCTTAAATTTCATTCCTCCAATCTAAATCAGTAATAAAAATGTATTAAAAAAAATGTATATTGTAATACATCACATTTTATTTAATAAACCAAAAATATTCATTTCACCCTTATTTTTAAACTAAGTTAAGCACCCGTTGGGATTTTGATGATATAGCTTATACAATGTATTATATAAGTCAATATAATAATGTAGCCTATGATATGTTATAATACAATAATACTATTGTACAAGTAAATGTTATTCATACTCAATGTTAGAAATTATCGTACCACAAATAATAATTACCATCTTTCATAAGGTTAAGTATATATAGTCTTATGAATAGTCAGGCTAGCCACTGGGAGGAAAATAACTATTTAAAAATTCAATTAAAAATAGATTTTATCTTAAAACTTTTGGTATATCACACATGTTCAGGAAATTAATATTAAAATTTAAAATAAAATTATAATTATTTTATTGAACAAGTAATATTTAGTAATATATAAAGCTATATGTATGACTTTATTGCCATGATTCTACAAATTTGTTTTAGAAAATGTGTTATATTTCATTTCGCAGCTAACAATATTTAAGTATTTAACATACAATTCAGTGTAATAAAGGTTTATGGTGAATATAATTGAAATTATTATTAGACAAAAATTGGTACCATCAAATAAAAAACAAAAATATAACAAATTTATAAGACACCATAATTGCAAAAATCTTAAACTTCTATTTGAGACCTTACTATTCTAGTAATGCAGTATTATGTTTATTGATCATGAACACTGTAGACTTAGACTGTATAACTTAGTTTAGATTTTCACTATTTATATTTCAAATACAATTAAAGCTATGATTAAAAATATTATTAAATAAACTTACTAGAAAGTGATCAGTAGAATGTTTTGACTCTGATGGACCAGATTGATGAATGTCATCACTATCAAAGTCATTTTGACACCAATCATTTCTCTCGCTTTGCTTCAAGTCCATAATTTTTCTAGAAGAATTTTCAATATTTCTATTAATGAGATTTAAAGTTTAAGAACATAAAAAAAAACTTGAGCTATTTGTTCAAATAAAATTTTCTCTAAATTAAAAATAATGGCAAACAATATCTTAAATACTAACAGGAGCATTTAGTTAGAATTAATAAATACTGATGTAAATATTATCATACTTAGTAGTAAAGTCTTCTTAAGCAAAACGTACAAAAAAATTATTTTTTAAATTAGTTATTTGGTAATACACTGCAGATCAAGTCATAACATATTAACATATTAATTGACTAGAGTATAGAATTAAAGCAAAAATTAAATTTACTAAAAAATTAAGGAACTTTTATTTTATTTTTACAAGTAAACATATTCACGTTATAAGTTTTAATAACTGATTATTGTTTCACCATGAAAATTAATGATAACATTTTTGACTGATAACTTGATTTGATAGTGTTACACAGATAACAGCAACAGCTGTTTTTCAGTCAAAGTTGATTATTAGACACTGTGCTGTTTGTTGTTCAATGTCCCCACCCTAATAATTACTTAAACATAAAAAAATACACAGTTTTCTAAAAAAATGTTAGAGGGACTAAAATAAAAGACTTAGTTTTATCTAAGTCCAATACTTACTAGATAACAAAAATCTTTTATAATTATTTTTCGTAGTTTACTGTTTGCAATAAGGTTTTTTGAATATGAAGCATAGCCATACTAATTATTTAGTCAATATGTGTTTTTAAGAAGTCTAAATTAAGTGTATTTTTTTTTAATATTGAAATTGCCTGAGTCATTTATAGTTGATCCTAGTGATGGGCCAAATCAATAAATTTGGAAAAACCTAATATTTTTTTTGAATAAAAAAAAGCTGAACATTTTTTAGTAGATATTATTCCAATATTCGGAGCCCATTATTCGTTATTATTCCATGTAGAATATTTAGTATTATTCGTTTAACAATTTAACAATTACTGTTAAATTTATTTTTAAATTATAATAATTACTAAACATTGAATATATTTTAATATTCCATATAGATATTAATTCCAATATGAAAAAGAAGGTTATATACATGATCCATTTATTAATTATGGGGGAGTTAACTTAATTTTTTTAAATAGCATAATACATATTTATATAGCTTATAAAATAAAAAAAAGTCCAATTTTTTTAGCTTCGATGCGAAGCTGAGAAGGTATTAATTTTACCATGATGTGTTTATTTTTTTAGCTTCGATGCGAAGCTG